CTTTAAAAAAAAAATATTCCCTACCATTACTTAAGAGTAACTTTGCATTCAAATTAAAAGATGATAAATTTATTACTTCATATACATGGTTAACACTATTCAAAATCAATACCCATGGGGCTGGGGATGTGACTCAAGCTGTACCGCACTCGCCTGGCATGTGTGCGGCCTGGGTTCGATCCTCAGCACCACATACAAACAAAGATGTTGAGTCCGCCGAAAACTAATAAATAAATAAATATTTAAAAAATTCTCTCTCTCTCTCTGTCTCTCTCTCTCTCTCAAAACAAAAAATCAATACCCATAAATCAAATGCATTTCTGTACATCAGTAATGAATCCTCCAAAAGAGAAATTAGGAAAACTACCCTGTTTACAATAGCCTCAAAAAAATTAAAATACTTGGGAATCAACTTAATGAAAGAGGTGAAAGACCTCTTCAATGAAAACTACAGAATGCTAAAGAAAGTAATTAAAAAAGAACTTAGAGGATGGAAAGATCTCCTTTGTTCTTGGATAGGTAGAATTAATATTGTCAAAATGAGCATACCATCAAAAGCACTATACAGACTTAATGCAATTCCAATCAAAATCCCAATGACATGCCTCAGAAAAAGCAATCAGAAATTCATCTGAAAAAACAAGAGACCTAGAATAGACAAAGCAATCCTTAGCAAGAAGAGTGAAGGAGGTGTCATCGCTATACCAGACCTTAAACTATACTACAGAGCAATAGTAACAAAAATGGCATGGTATTAGCACCAAAATAGACTTGTTGACCAATGGTACAGAATAAAGGACACAGAGACAAACCCACATAAATACAGTTATCTCATACTAGACAAAGGCGTGAAAAGGATATATTGGAGATAAGATAGCCTCTTCAACAAATAGTGCTGGGAAAACTGGAAATCCATACGCAACAAAATGAAATTAAGCCCCTATCTCTCACCATGTACAAAACTAAACTTAAAGTGGATTAAGGACCTAGGAAATAGACCACAGACCCTGTGCCTATAGAAGAAAAAGTAGGCCCAAATCTTCACCTTTGCAGATTAGGCCCCAATTTCCTTAACAAGACTCCTAAAGCACAAGAAATAAAAGCAAGAATCAATAAATGGGATGGATTTAAACTGTAAAGCTGAGACCGGAGGAGGAAGACGCCCGGAGCCAAGCCAGACTGGAGGAGGTAGTCCGGCCCTGCCCAGAGTGCTAGCCCGGAGGAAGCCCATCAACCCTTAAAAACCCATCAAAAGGGGTGTGGCTACCAGCACGGTTCTGCAGCTGATCCAGGTACCCAGTTTCCAACTCCCCCACCCTTAGCTGTGATAACTCAAAATATTTCCCACAAGCTTTTGGGGGTTGTAGCTATCAACACAAAACAACAACTGTACAGGCACCTGGTTTCTACCTCAGAGACTAGAGCAGGGAAGATACAGGTGGAAGCTCATTTCCTTTCACACTGGCTATACCCACCACCCTGAATACAGAGGCTCAAGCTAGGAATAGACAACACCACCTACTAGAAGCAAGGAAAAGAGTGTTCTGAGAGACTTTTTTTTCCTTTTTCTTTCTCTCTTTTCTTCTCTCTATTGCACAACTTTAGCATATGTGAAACCAAGAACTGTGCATGAACAACCGAATTACCAAAGTAATATAGAGGAATTGCATATACCCCACCTTCCCCCCATTTTTTTTCTTGATTTCTATCTTACTTTCCTTTTTCTTCTCTTATTTCTCTTTTCTTCCTTGTTATTTTTTTTTCTTTTTTTTTATTCGTATTCTCTCTATCCCACTTTCAATCTCCTAACCTTTGCTATCTATACATAGGGTAACTATCTAAATTCAGATAGGAGGTTGAGTCTATACATCCTTCCATAAATTACCAGTCTATTGGTTAGAGTTCTCCAAAGGTGCTAAGTTAGTTTAACCTCATACCCTCACTCCTTTCCCTCTAAGTTTAACATCCTTCGTCTGAAATTAAGTTTTCTATATGCCACCAGATATGGTATGCCTTTTATGAAACTAATGAAT